AAAGAGCATTTGCATTCCTATGAGATGATTCCTTTTGATGATGGATAGTAATATCATATTCCTGGAGACTCTGTATCCATTTGGTTATTTGGTCTTTGGGATTTTTGAAATTTACCAGCCAGGTAAATGATGCATGATTTGTGCGGAGCAGGTATATTCTACCAAACACACACACACACAAAAAAAAAAAAAAAAAAAAAAAAAAAAAAAAAAGATAATTATGGAAATGCTCTATGGCTTTTACTATCAGCCCAAGGACTTGCTAAAAGCTCAATATCATCAGTTTTTTTGCATGTCCTTTAAAAGTTTTCCTACCTTCTTCTGTCTAGCAATCGGCAGATGTCTTAGACGTTGCTTGATTGATGGATGATGTTTTGTATCAATTCTTATGCACAGCCAAACTGGTTCGACCTACGTCAGAAGATTAGTGGAAGAAAACATTTTGAAAGTCTCAAATTACATGTTCAACAGATCTCTTCTCTTCATTGCATAGTTGTGCACTGTGCAGTCACTCTGATGTTAGGCTTTATGAAGACACAGATTCTGGAAGGTTACTGTTTCATTTAATGCAGGTCACGAGTGCATGCTGCAACCCACTCAGCTAAAGAGTTTTGCTTTATCACTGATGCTGGCAACTCTGACTGGGATGACAGTCCTCGATATGTTGACAAGTGCTGAGACTCTTACTATACACGTTTGGAGCTATTACACTTCTTAGTATAGTCTATTATGCCATACCCAGTTTCTCTTTTCAGCTATGGATCCAGGAAGTGAAAATTACATTATGGATGATAGCGTTATATTGTCTTGAGCTATGATTTAGTGCATGCATTTAACTCTTTCATCTTTAATTCCAAACAGGGTTATGGCCTTAATTTTAAAGCTGAAAGAAAAATTTTATTTTCTTAAAAAGTCTAATCCAAGTATGCAAGGGTCGGTAATTTCTGCCACATGTGTTGTGCGATGGTAATTGGTACTTCAAACATGATCTTAACATTTAACTTTTCATTAATATTGATTTTATCATAGGACACAGTTTGGAGGGTAATGCTGGGCAGCATACAGATATGTTTACCTTCCAATTATTGAGCCAAGTGGTTTGGATGATGGTAAAATTGGCTCCTGTATCAATGATCATATTTCGCGGAATTCCATTTATATGCCCCATGATGTCCATCATTGCCGCCACTTATTACAGAAATCTGAAGTACTTAGAAATGGAGTTTTTCAATATCTGGCAATCTCTGCCTTGCAACATGACCACTAATTAGTTTCCTTCCCTTTGTTTGGAGAAGGCTTCTCTCCCATGCCTTGGGGTGTTCTGCAGTTCTTTCGTACATGGTTTTCACCACCACAGTTCCATCACCTTAGGGTTGGTTTGTTCTCATCCTATTCTGCCACAAGGCATTAAGTTGCCTGGTTAAATTATCTAGGCGAGCAGGCACTTGATCCACTGGCTCCTAGACTTGAGCAGCTCTGATTAGGTGGCAGTCCCATCGGGGCCTTGAATTTCATAGTAATTTTCAAATTAAGCAATACATTAAAGCACTTTTCAAATGCTTGACATCTGCCATTTACACGGCTTTCTGCATCTCAAGATCTAGGATGCCATCAATGAAGTACTGCAGGGACAAAATTTCCCTTGTTTCTGATAGAGCGTCCCAAAAGGTGAGATGAGAAAGCCTTTCAACATCTGTGGCGAGCTCTTTGAGACACTTCCTTAGGCTTCTGTTGCTAAGATTTTAAGTGAAGTCTTTTAAATACTTCTTGACAAAGCGCAGCAGCTGGATAGGACTTTCAAGTCTAGCTTCTGGGCAGAGTGTGAAGGATATCTGTGGTGTCTGTTCTTGGACAAGAGGCGAGGTGGTAGGCTTTAGCTTCAGAATCCCATCCATTTGCATTTGCCAATAGAAAAGAGTCTTTTACACATGCCAGGAGGTCTTCCCATCATATGGAATAGCTATAGAGAGAGGCGAGAGCACATAGGTACAAATTTAAAAGCGTCAGAATTATAACCAGCTGTCATTATGGATTTCTTAGAAACAAATTGTTGTGACTCCTTTAGTATAGCCGAAATCGATAATTCGCTTTCTGCACCAGTCACTGGGAAAGTGCCATCGTTAATAAAGCAATTTAATAATACACAATTTACATTCCTGTGTTCCTTGTTCAGTATTTAGTATTCACCATAGTGATAACAATGCATTAGCGTTTTTTTAGGAAAAGTGATAATTTTTCTTAACATTACTACTGAGCAAAAATGTTAGTATCTTCTATCTAAGTTTTAAATTAAAATTGCTTAGTTGCACAAAACTCTTGTATTTTATTATCTATTAAAACAAACACCCCCTCAAATATCCAAAACTTATTGTTTTCATGAGAAACGGGAACTAGATTACTTCTTTATTAGAATGATAAATGTTATTGCTTGATATGCAATGCTGCCATAGTCTTCACCACAAAGAGCAATCTGGAGAGGCAGTTTTAAACTTTGCATAACATTATCAAATAGACTATCCATAAAACAGTGACTTGGGAAAAAAAACAAAATTAGGGATCCTTAGGGTCAGTTTGGAGCTGACGAGAATATTTTAAAAAAGTCCATGTTGAAAACTGCACCACCAAAGTAAGCCATATTTTTTTTTTAGAGTGGGGGGCGCATATAAACCATTTTGTCATGAGAAATTTGACACAAAAGAAACTTTTCTGGAAATGTCAGATTCATTTTTAATAATATTAAGAACAAGACTGAAATTAATGCTGTGATCTAATACCTATTGCTGACTGAAAAACTATGATGTGGTTGATTGAGAAAATAAAAGGGAATAATTATACAATGACATTAACATATGTGTTCTTGTTTTTTTCCTTCAGCTTGACGAATAACAGATAAAGTGACACAACTGCTTATTTTTATTCATGCGGTTTTTAAAGATTACTTACCTAAAGAACTGTTGTACCTGATTTATTTGAAACAAAGGACTAGAAATATAAACATATTCTACTCCTTTAAAAACTTTCTCACTAATTTGAAACTACCACTTTTAAAATTCACATAACAACTGCCTATTTTTATTCATTTGGTTTTTAAAGAATACATACCTAGAGAAGAACTGTTGTACATGATTTATTTGAAAAAAAAAAAGGCGGGGGGGGGGACAGAAGTATAAATATATTCAATTTCTTTAAAAAGTTTCTCACTAATTTGAAACTACTTTTATAATTACTTTAAGTAACACCAGATAGAACAGGAGCAATAATGAGCCACATGAACAGATTTATAGTTGTATTCCAAAACAATGATGAATACCCAAGCTTTCTGAACTACCACTGCAATATTTCACCAACAGGACAGCTAGAATTACATATAGGTGAAGGACATTACACCCAGATGAAGGACAGCCAGAATTATAACTATATGCGGATGGATGTAAGATAGCTAAAAGTACATTTTTGCAATAATTATGTGATTTATTAATTGAGACAAAGGATTTTTTCGATGAACAACATCAAGAACATGCAAATTTAAATTATGAAACTTTTTGCAGTGCTTCTGCATTAAGATTTTACATCAAAATTAAGTTAAATTTAGAATTAACTGCAAAGGAAAAAATAAGACATGAATTGAAATTATCAGTAGCATTAATGCATGTGAAATAAAATTTATTATGCTAATAGAAGATATTCAATAAACAATTTGAATAACATTCCAAATATGACTGATCACCCACAACTTCAGAACATTGAAAAGTACATTGCACAAATTAAAAAGGCGACGTGAAGATCTTGTGATCAGATTTCAGAATTTTGGAACAAGTTATTGTGCAGTATGTATCTTTTCCTTGTAAAAAACATTTAAATGTAAAATATAGTGCTGCATTAATTTCTGAAACATTTAATATGGAGGGGGAGCCATTGGAAAATAAAACTATAACTCTACAGAGCTTGAGGAAGGTTTTTAGAAATACATTAATCAAGTAAAGTACCCAAATATTTACAAATACAGTGAATATAGATACATATTTAATGCGAACTGGCTTTTCCATATTCACCAAAACTAAACATCACTTATCAATCCCATACCGAAGATTCATTGGCTGGTTACACATCAAATTATAAATGCTTGATTGGAAACATGCAGACATAAAATTCTCATTTAATAATAAGATAATAAAATTTAATCTGGATCTTTTTTCCTGTGGTTACTTTTCAATTAACTAATATTATCAATAAAATATTGTCTTCCTATTGCCACTTGCTAGGACAGAAGACACAAACAAGTTTAACTGCCTTAACTATGAATATTTTAGGAGTTAGATCACAATACATTTTTAAAAAACAAAGTCAAACATTTATATGTAGAAGTTGGCCACCATTGACTTAGACTATTTACCATAAAACTCAGGAAAAGTAGATGCGAAAAATCATAAAAAATTTCACCAAAAGTTATTTTTGGAAAAATCAAGGGTCGGTCTTCGAATAACTTGACTGTTCAAATTTATGAACTGTTTTTAATATTATTCAAATGAAAATTTTAAAAATACTGATTCATTTACAAAGAAAAATTCTATCCACTTCAAAGAAGATAGTGACAGAGATATTCAGATTTCCAGAATTTATTAATAAGAATTCAGAGATAGCAGTGACCTATTGCTCACAGAATAATCTGATTACAAATACTGTGTGATAAAAAAATGAAGACCAAGTGATAAATATAAAAACTGGTCAACTTTTTTTTTTATTCAATATCATAGGAAACAAAAATTTGAAATCATAGTACTGGTTCTATTGATTTTGTCTATTACTAAGCCACTAAAATTTAAGTAAAAAAGACGACATCAGAAAATGTAAAAGTTAAAGAACTAAATGGCCCTAATAAAAATTAATAGCATGGACACATAAAATTCTATGTGACATTCATTTAAAATAAAATTTACAACTACATATTTAAATATATATTAATAGCTTTCAAAATAGAATTTTAAAATACATATACATACCTTAAAAAGATCTGATCCTTCTTTTAGAAGTATTCCAAAAATGCTATCTAACTGTGCAGCAGCTTCTGCTGCAATATCTTCTAATGATAATACGTTGGACATTATTTCTTCAAGGCATGTATTCAGCAAAGTTCCAATAGCTTTGAAGTATACTTGAACAGGGAGAATATCTGACCATGCTTTTTTTAGTAGTTGCAGCTGACAAAGACACTGCCTGACAGCTTTTTCTGCTTTGTTAACTAAGCCATCATCAGTTACAATATTCTGATAGTCTATAAAGTAGAAAAATTGAGAGTTTGAACATGTTGCCAAAGAAATCTGAAGGGGGAAAAAGTGTAATTTTACATGAAAATTTCATTAAAAAAATAACATATGCAACTTCTGAATTACTAAACTATATTTCACACACACACACACACACACACACACACACACACACACAAAAAAAAAAAAAAAAAAAAGAGTTTAATTTGAATATATAATATGCAAAAAGACAAAAAGATAATTTAAAAGATTAATATTGTACTTATGAAAATTTCGGTTGGGTGGAGGTGACATCTGAATTTTGCATATGGCAAATCATTCTTAAAGAAAAGTCCTCAAAAACATGAGGAAAAAATAGAAATTATAATAAGATTAATAGTTTTACAATATGATACCATGTAAAGATATGCCTTGATTAATGTCATTTCAGTTGATACCAATTTTATAACATGGTCATAGAGCGCAAATGAAAGGGAATGAGTAATGATTCTGCCTGGTTCTTAATATGTTCACATTGGCATCAATATTCATGTTTTCTGTTGTGAGACTGCACTCGAATTCATGCTTCACTTCAACTGGTGGTGTGGCACTAGTGCTCATTTAGACACTACATATGCAACTGTTTGCCAGGTAAAAGAGGGTGTGTGCTTACATTGCAAGTTGTGTAACTCATGCTGTTGTTTCATTCTGACCACACATTTCTTTCAGTAAGTGTAACTAAAAAGGTAGTTAGCAAGTTTTCTGTTTTAATTTTTGCCATATAAATATTAGATAACATGGCTATGGAAATAAGTGATTTGTCTGATGAATCTGTAAATATGTGGAGAAATACATCAAGATCAAGAATACTCTCAAACTCTTCAGAAGATTTTGTTAACGGTATGCAGTGTCTCAAGCATAACCCACCGGAGATGCATGCCACACAACCTGATTGACGCATGCCTGCATCAATGTGTTAAACCAGAAGTTCTTAAAATATTCAACATTGCAACATTTTGTTGTCTTGTCAACAAATGAAATGAAGATCTGTGACATCATTTAATAGGCTTAACATAGGTTTATTATGTAGATTTGTCACACAGTGTACTAATGGATTTGTTTAAGAAAATCCATTAATTTAAAATAAGCAAAATTCATGTGTTTGTCATTAACCTCTTAATGCTCAGTCCTCCATTAAAAAAATCAGACCTCAAGAGACATTTTTCTACTGTAAATTACTAAAACTGAATATTTCTTGATTTGAAAACAAGAACGTAAGCTTGATTGTTTTAGATAAAATGCTTAGAAGTTGAACAGTCTTAAGTTTATGAAAATGTTTAACATATGAATTAGTAGAAACATGTTCATGCACATTTTAATAGAAAAAAGTCTAAAATCACAGATTTACACTTGAACAAGGGCAAATAATCTGACTTTCGGCCATTTATGAATGCTAAGGAATTAATCTGGTACCATTAAACATTAAACTTTACAGTAGAAATATTGCAACTAACATATGTTTTGATTATTACAGCGATGGCAAAGCATGTGAGAGCCATCTGCCTAAGGGAAAAGATGTTTTCATGGAGGATGTTTTATAGGAAATTGATTCATAATCATACTGTACGTGAGGAAAATCACAAAACTCTTATACTTAAACTACCAGTTTTACACTCACTCTTTGGTGAGTATATATTTATATTATTGTGCATAATATTTGCTAAAAACCCAACTAATAAACTTAAAATTGTTTCTGATATTTTTTAATACGTATTCTTTAACTCTCTGGGTGCCATGACCAGCTTTATCTGGCCATGAGATTTTTTGGTCGCTTGTTATATATTAGCTTATAATTTAAGATATTTTGCTTTTGTACTTTCATTAATAACATAAATGTCTCCTTGATGAATGCAAGTTTATGAAAATGGAGACTAAAACAGGTAAATATACCATACCTGCTAACCTCTACAGATAAAAATTCAGAAGATTTCTCCCCCAAATTCAGAAGAACATGAAGAATTAATATCATGCTTTGATATTAAAAAAATAACAATTTATACAAATAGAAAAAAAAATTGTACTTACATTAGTAAATCTCAATTAAGTAGTAACCAAAAAATTTATTAGGAAACATAAAACAAGAACTTAATGTTACACAAAAAAATTATTGCAATGAATTTAGAGTGCATTTTTTTTTGGCTTTAGCCAAAATTCTTTGGAAAATTTCCTGTCATAACAATTAGTTTCCTCATAACATTTAGCAAATTAAAATGTTTTCTAGAGTTTTTGGTGAAATTGAAGAACGAAACATAGTTTTGTTTTTCTTCACAACAATGAAGACTCTCTCGCACTCAGCATTACTGTGTGGAATTACGAGAATAGCACATAAACCTCTTGCTAGTGTATCATTATTTTGGTGTTCCATCAGCTCTTTTTATTCTTTTTAAGGTACCAACGAGGACATCAAGTTTATCTTCTCCAGAACTGGCAAAGTCTTCAAACTGTGCAGCAGAAAATGGGTTCTGTAGTTCATCTAAAGCATCATTATGGCATTCATTTTCTTTAATTGTAAACAAAAATGGAAATTTATCAATAAAAAAAACGAATCTTTTTCAAAAGATGAATTTTCAATTTGTTTCAAATTTGCCACTTCAGCATTTAAAAGAACTTCATTTTGCAAAGGAAACTTCCTTACAATGTAATCACAGGCTGAGGAAAAGTACTTTCTAACACATTGAAAAAATTCTTTTTTCTCATGATCTTTCAAAGAATTTACAAGTTCCCTGGTTTGATTTCCAATTATAAGATCATTGTCATCCGTTTGATTTGCCAAACTATTAATAGGCAACACGAATCAACACACTGTTTTTCACAACGGACGGTTTTTTACAAACTTAGTATAAAGTTCTTTCAAAAGATCATTAAGAATTTGGATAAGCAGGGCAGATTTTGGCGAAGCTGATTGTAGAAGGGTATTTAACACTTTCAAAAATCTTAATGGTACTTCAACACAAAACTACAATATGCTTTGTTCAAATCCGAAGAAAGAAGATAGAAAATTCCTTTTCCTCCCGGCTAATAGAAGACTGTTTCTTCTTCCCTTCAACTTCTTTAACAAAGTTGACCTTTGAGGAGTCTTCTAAGCATTTTCTTTTTAAAGGGTTTGATTCTGTGTGTTGGCTTTTCCTTTTAAAGCATTTTGATTAGAAGCAAAGTTGGTTTTCGGAATCTTATATGCCGACAAATTTGATGGGATCTGTGGTTTCGTTTTGGTCTCTTCGTGGAAATATTTTAGCAATGCATCCACTGTTCAATAAACCTTCCTAGCACTCTGCCTAAGGATAACCATCTCATGCATACATGTTTCAGAATTTTTCTCGTTTCACCAGAGCACAGTTCTTGGAAATTTTTTAGGTTTTCTTACTTTTTTACACTTTTTTCCAGATATAAAAACACATCAATCAGACGCTGGTCAATATTTAATGGTAAAGCAGCTGCAGCTTTTTCTGCTGCCAAATTAATTAAGTGGCATGGGCATCCAACAATTAATTAATTTTGTTCTTGTGCTAAATTCCAAATATGCATGGTTTTTATTTTGATCCTCCAGCAAGACAATTTCTCCTACAGAGAGAGGTTTGTTTTTGTAATTTCTGGCAGAATGCTGTCTTAACTGCCCTAGATATTCAGAGCAAAATCTCACTCTTAACAATTCTCTTATTTTCTGGAGATACTTCGCTCTTCTACTCAAATTTTTCTTTGTCCACATTGGCAATATTAAATTTCCATTTTATTCTCTTTTCAGCAGCCTTAGAGCAGATACAGTCCCAGTCAATGGTTTGCAGAACTCTTTCTCCACCCATAAAATTTGTCCCATTATTGGAATATATGGTGGTAGGGCATGCTTGACTTGCGATAAAATGCCTTAAAGCCTGAAAAAATGATGCAGTTGTTAATGAGGTAACCAGTTCCATATGGATAGCATGATAAACCGCACAGGTGAAGAGCACAATATATGATTTTCGTAAATTCCTTTAAATGCAAGGGTCCTGCAAGATCACATCCTACGATTTCAAAAATGGCTAAATCACGAACCCTATCATTTGGTAAAATGCCTGGGACTGTTTCACCTCTTTTAGCCTTAAATCTCTTACATGTTATACATTTTCTTATATAGTTTCTTATAGTTTTACGTGATTTTAAAATCCAGTATCTTTCTCGTAAATGTGACATCAACAGTGTAGTACCTGCATGCAACAAATCTTTGTGGGCACTTAATATCAATAATTTGACTACTGGATGTTCAGAAGGTAATATGATGGGGAATTTAAAGCTGCGAGAGTCATCACAATAAGCAACATTAGACTTAGCTCTTATTAGACCCTGACTATCGACAAATGGTCTGAGTCGTCTTAGCTTATCATCTGTTTCACCATTAAATGACTCTTTTTGTATTAATAACATTAAAGCTATTTCTCTACTTTCTATTTCAGATACAGTCAAATCCTTAGAATGGTTGTTATTATTATTCTTACGTACATTATTATTAAAAATCTGAATATCCACGATAACATTCTTACAATTTTCTTAAATGATGAGAAATACTTATAGTAACCATCCAATACAATTATCATTCTTTACCAACGTAACAATAACCTGTCTTACATATTTCTGAATTAAACTAAATCCTCATCTGGTTCATCATTAGATTTAGGCCAATTTGCCTCATCTTCCAGTAATCAATCAGGTCCCTCCCACCATTTTCGTTCTATTAATTGATCTGCCATAACAACCTCTAGAAAGTAGGTCAGCACGGATTGAGACTACCAGGGACATGTCGCCATACAGTGGGAGAGGTCAAAGACCTGATTTCCTGTACATGATTAAAAACGAATGCTCCCCAACATTGATTTCGCCATATTCCAACTAAAAGCCGTCAAGGAGTCAAGTCAACAAGTGAATACGAACTTCATGTAGGCCAATCTTCATTAATAACTGAAGGACAATAACCTAGAACCAATATTACAAGCAA